TGTGACACATAAACAAAGTCTGGAAATTTCACCTTTGTGTGGAGGGTATGCCCTGCTATAAACAATGGTACATATATGGTGGGAGTGTTCTAAAATCCAGGGGTTTTACTGAATAATAATTCAACATATATTAAATTATTGTTATGCAATCTGTTGAGATAAAGTGGTTTTGTATTGATAAAAAATCTAATAAAGATATAAAAAAATAAAAACACACATAGAAGCTGGCAGAACATTAAACATATAACTACAGATGTTGATATATGCCCATTGCTCGTTAAAACCGTCTTGTATATTGATTGTCATTTTACTTGAAATGTGTGAGGGGATCAAGGGAATCTTCCGTGTGGGGGATGAGGGAAGTGGGGAGTGGTCTCGAAGCGTTTTCTGGCTCAGATCATTGACTGAACCAATTCAGACCCTGACAAGTGTGGATGACATGCTCTAGTGCTTTATCACTGGCACTCTATGACTACTTACCATGACAGATATGTTGTAGTGTTGAGGTGAAGATTGTCGACAAACAGCAGCTTGGTCAGTTAGGACATATCTTAAGACTTAGCTGCATCTGCGATCACCATTCTACAAATGAACGTTGATGATACTATAATTGTCCTCGATAAAGCTTGAGGCTTTTTTGATCTGCCTTGGATATTTGGGATGTGCATCACTGAGACACACACCATTTATACTGTGGTTTTTACTTTAGCTGGCCTCATCTTGATGCTAATTTAGATATACCCCATTAATCTCCTGAGGAAGTGACTTATTTGGTTTGCAGGGTATGTGGAGGGTATCCTCTGCTTTCCTTGTCCTTCGTGTGGAGGGTCTCTTGGGTATATTCTTACATTTTCACTTTTTAAACTAAAGCAGTTCATGAACAGATAATTACATTTATGAACTTTATATAACTAGTTTTGATTTATTGGTACTTAAAAACAATTATTTGATAATAGAATATTGGGGTGTCACAGTTAGGGTTCAGTCTCAGAGACCAGTAGGTTTGGCAGTAGAGAGGATCCCACCAACCCGCTGGATAAGTTCAGCAGCATGTCACCCTGGCAGATGACACGGGCACACCTTAGGTGCGGAGTCTAAGCTAACAGATGTTAACAAGAGCTCCTGATGGTGAAGATGGGTTTTGCTGAATGTTAGTACCAGGTTCCAGAACTCAGGATTGCCCCACCTGGAGGTGAGCAAGCTGGGGTCCAGTAGCAGATATAGCAGGTAGGAATCAAGCAAAAGCATAACCAGTAAAAAAGCTAAATGTCGGTTGTCGCAAACGTGCACCCCAGAGACTGACGCAGTCTGCCATTTTGTTAAGAGTAGCCATGTTATTCCCTCATTCCCCTTCCCCCTCCCTTCCTGAGAGGCACAGTGACAGATGTGTGTGTGTGTACTGTTTATAGGTCACTGGCCGGCCAAGGCATTTCTAGCTAGGTGCCAAGCTGTCTGTGAAAGCTGTATCCTTTCTCACCTAGGAAGAGATAGGACCAGCTTTCCCAAGAGAGCTGGAGTCTCACTGGCCAAAGTACCTGTGTAATTTAACACCTCATGAAGGGATAGCAGGAGCCTTCCCAGGAGTTGAAAGGGACTCTGAGCTAATAAACCTAGCTCAGCCTAGGTGACAGAATTAGATGAACACTTCTCAAATCAGTTTTTCCCCTATGTCTCATATCTTGGAATATGTGAGACTTACATAAAAACCAGACACCTCGTCAGATGGCCAATGAGCAGAACAGTTTGATGGGTCACTCGTTTATCTTGGACCATCAGGGAAGCCAAAACATAGAACTCGTGAACCGTGCAATATATAATTTCATAATTCATATCTAAATAATCCTCAGACTTGTCTGCATAATAATATACCCACGGGTGGACTGTCGCTTGTGCAGATGGAAAGTTATGGACCAGAATATGAATTATGAAAGATGTGGGCTCTAGTTTAGGGTTCCACCTGACGATCCCTCCCTAAACAGGGGATTGGTCTTTTACTTCAGAACCACCCGCTGCTGGGAAACTTTAAAAGCAGGCTGTCAAGCCTAAGAGGAGTTAGTTGAAGACATCTCCCAATTTTAACATCAATATACCACCTGGGGAGACCTGTGCCTTCCGCTCTGAAACGTGAAACGTGATCTGCTTACATCCAAGGCTTAATGGCAAGTAACTTAACCCTTTAACTCCTCCCTGTTATCTCTTTGCTGTGCTGTGTTGTTTTCTGTATATGTATATATATATATATATACATTATATATATATAATCTTAGTTACATCTTCTCTGTAAATATTTTTATTGCACCTGTTTGACCCTTTTAGTAATATATCTCTCTTTCTGAAAGTGTTGAACTGTTTCTACAGCTCCTAATTGCAATTTACGAATCCCTGCCTTTAAAGAGATGCTACTGTTTGTGTTAACCCTCTGTATAACAGGCCTGTATTATGACTGGGTTATGCAGTCGATTATATCAACCATTATAGTGTTATAGTGGAACACCGAGTTTCCGCTTTCACTGATCAAAAAGGAGGTGGTGGCAGTGTGAAGGGGTTAATTGTGTAATTAACCTGACCCAGTAACAATCGATTAAGGCTGCTGGCACATCAATCGGTATCCATTAGCTGGAAAATTGTTGTGCAGGGTGCAGCTGGGTGTGGCATTGTTACGCACGTCACATTGCGGTTGTAGATCGGTTAGCTCTTCGGTCACGAGTTTTGGTGAGAAGGTCTGGGGTCTGACGCCGCGCGATTGTGACATCGGTAACAAGTGGTCACAGGTTGAGATTAATCAGAAGTGTAGTCAAGAAACAAGCTGAAGATCAATAGCAAGTGGTAGCAAAGATATGGAAGACAGCAGGAGTGACAGAGCGAGATATTGGCTGGAGAGAGTACAATCTGACAAACAGTAAGTGTAAAGGCATGGCTAAAATAAACAGTTTGTGGGAGGAGCAAAAGGTTCAAGGGAAACACGGTTCAAGGCCAGATCATTTAAGGAATTGCCCAGGGAGTTGTCCAGCATCCCAGGTGGCTTAGCAAGAAGAGACATTGCCAGACACAACAGTAGGTTCAGACCCAGGTCTTGACACTGAGATCGTTACTGTTATAAAGCACTCTTTGTAGCCTTCCGTAAGATTCCTGGAAACAGGTGATTTCATCATGGCTCATCACAGGATACACTAGTTTTTATAACTGCTACACAAACTGAGTAGGAGTAGGAGTTTCCTGTAGAGTGTGTGAAAGTTCAAAATATTCTTACAGGACAAAGTCTCATAAATCTGAATTTATTGCTAACATATGCCAGTACTATCTGGTGTACGCTTTCTCAAAATTATCAAGGAGAGTCTGGATACATTGTGTATAATACTAGTATTATGCTCGTTTGTTAATGATAGTAGATGCTAAAAAGAACTCTTTACAAAAGTATTCATTTATTTAAATGGAGGTTGCAAGGCTAAATTATGTAGAATTTCTTTGTGAAGCTCTCTGTAATACTGGGAACATACATTTGTAATCACTAGTTATAACTTGTGTGTGTGTGTTGACTTATCTCTCAAATTTTGGATAGCATTACAGGTCAGTGAAAGGATGCCTACTTTTTTCCATATTCTTCCTGACAACGTTCATTTTGGAGGTGCCCACCGATTATAGATGGTAGTTCATCCATTATGCCTGCCAAAGTATCATTCTTAGGAAAGATTGTTGTACTAACAAGCAAGTTCAATCAAATTAACTTGCATGTCTATGCTAGCAAAAAAAAGGGGGGGGGGTCTGCAGATGATGGCCATCTCCAGGAAAACTATAGCCAGCAGTTGTGAAATACAATCCTGGCAGACCAATTATTTCCCCTAGCAGAAGGTATCAGGAGAAGTCTACAGACAGGTGAATATTCCCCATTTGAATGTAAATGGAGGAGTCAGGCAAACGGTCTTATATGTCTGTGGATACCTACTTATATGGCTGGGGCTACATGGGCTATTTTAATCGCTTTCTACTTAAAAATGTAACCTCTTGTTGGTAATGATCTCTTCAGCAGCACATGGTTTTCAATGTATTGAAAATAGTGTGGCTGTCAACAAATTATGTCATGGTTGAAGTAGCAAAAGGTCAGAATCATCTATGTTAAGCCCTAGCCTAAATGAAAATGATGCTTCAACTACTAAAGACATTCTCCAATGAAAGACCTCTGAAAGCAATTACAGAGCTTGCATGTGTTTGTTCTTGTCCACATGTTGGACAAACCAACATTCTCATTCATATTTTGGCTCCAGAGACATTCTCATTCATTCTTGTTCACATATTGGACCAACCAGCATTCTATTTTATGTATAAGTTCAAGATTTTCCTTCACCTGCTGGCCTAGCCAGTATTCTTGTTGACACGTTAGCCCAGCCAACATTTTCTTTCATGCATTAGCCCAGCCAACATTCTCACTCACGTGTTTGCCAACTAACATACTATGATGATCATGAAAAAGGTTAAACAGAACTCTATATTAAAAAATACAAGGATGCCAAAGACTAAAAAGCTATGATGCAGACATCTTAACACAGAACTGCAAACATATTTGTTCTTAAGAAAAATCTTCTGTTGTGTTCACGCTCTGGGGTTACTCAGGTCAACTGTGTTTATGTGTACAGATTAAATGTTACAAAGTATCTTTTTGCAACATTTGTCCTTGGTTGACTTGCTAGGTTTGTGGATCTGAGAAGGAAAAGTAATGCTGCTGGACAGGTTTTCCCACTCTTTTTTCAGAGATTTATTGCCTACAGGTTATACCAGGCCTTGAAATTTCCACTCGCCTGCTCGCATTGGCAAGTGGAAATTATGGTGGGGGCAAGTGTGTCCCCAGGGCCGTCTTACTGAGCAGGCTCGGAACTCAGGGCTGGATCTATCACTCGCACTGGGAGCCGTCAGACTTCTCAATAGTTGAGCAAAGTGAAAGCAAAGGAAGGAGTGTGTGCTGTGCTCTCTGCCTCCCCCTAGAGTGCAGTACCAGGCTGTGAGTGAATAAAACAAAGTACTACGTTTTATAGGAGTGTGTGTGTGTGTATTTGCATGTGTGTGTGTACGTGTGTGTGTGTGTGCGTATTTGTGTGTGTATGTATTTGTATGTGTGTGTACATGTGTCTGTGTGTGTGGGGGGCGGACTGACCATTTGGAAACTCGGGCACTGCCCGAGGGCCCAGGATCAGTAGGGGGCCCCATGAGATGATCCTGGTACCGTTTTTATAGGCTTTTTTGAGTTTGGGCAAGGACACAAGGGCCCCATGATCTCCTATTGCCCGGGGGCCCCATGAGTTGTCAGTCCGCCCTTGTGTGTGTGTTTGTATGCATGTACATGTATTTGTACATGTGTTTGCGTGTATGTACATGTATATGTGTGTGTGTACATGTGTCTGTGTGTGCGTGTAGATGTGTGTGTTTGTGTGTATGTACGTACATGTGGCTGTGTGTACATGTGTCTGTGTATGTATGTAAATGTGTCTGTGTATGTATGTACATGTGTCTGTGTGTATGTACGTGTCTGTGCATGTGTATTTCTGTGTATGTACATGTGTCTGTGTGTATGTACATGTATGTGTGTTTGTACATGTGTCTGTGTGTGTATACATGTGTCTGTATGTGTGTGTGTACATGTGTCTCTGTGCATGTGTGTACATGTTTCTGTGTGTATGTACATGTCTGTGTGTGTGCACCGGTGTCTCTGTTTGTGTGTGTGTAATGTACCAGGGGCGGACTGATCATTGAGCACTCGGGCACCTTTCATTGACATTTTCATAGGCTTTTTTGGGTTTGGGCGAGGACACAGTGGCCCCATGATCCCCTATTGCTCGGGTGCCCCATGAGTTGTCAGTCCGCTCCTGGTATGTACATGTGTCTGTATGTAAACCTACATGTATGGGTGGTTTGGTCAGGTTCAGGATTATGTGGTTATTATGGGTGGTAGAGTATGGGGCACTTGAGGTACTGCTGGGTTGGATAGTAGGTAGGATATGCTTGGTACAGTTATGATTTTGTGAGTGAAAGATTATGGGGGGTTATGGTTGTATGCGGTGCATGGTCTAAGTATGATGGAGTGTTTAGGGGGACATTGGAGGACCTGATGTAATGTGGGGGGACTCTGGGGACCCTGATGTAATGTGGGTAACATTTAACAGTGTCATTTCATGAAATAATTTACGAGGGAGTGTTTAGGGGCGGCATTAGGGGTGTAGCAGGGTAGGGGTTGGGTGGGGCAACTGGTGGCGAGTAACTGTCACGTACCTGATTGGATACTGAAATGACGAGGTCGGCCTCACTTGTGTCACTAGCCCTGACCCCATTGGAAGTGGAACAGAGGGTGTCTAGGGACCAGGGGGACAGGAGCTCTTGCAGTTGGAGACTTTGCCTGAATCAAAGGTTTATCAGTCTTCCACAGTGGTGATATGCAGAGCTGGTATGGTAGATCGCCAGGTGTGCACTAGAGCAAGGCAGGAAGCAGGGAAGGGAGACAGGAGCAGTATCAAAGGAATAGCCGGGGTCATCAACGGGTGGACAGCGAGGTACCAAATCATAAGCAAGCCAAAGTCAGGAGCAGAGCCGAAGTCAGGAACCAGTACCAAGCAGGAGAGTAATCAGAGTCAGGTCAGGAACCAGCTGGGTCAGCAACAAGGAAATCACACAGGAATGAGCAGGAAATGGGGATCAGTTGAAGACCAGTCAGCACTCAGCACAGGCAGAGGCACCTTTTAAATAGTCCGTCTGGCGCCAATCTTCGCCATGCGTGTGCACGTGCGTGATCATGCATTTCTCTGCGCATGCGCACGTCTATTCACCAGCCGTCTCATGGGAATTCCCGTACAGTAACTCTTAAGGCCTGGCTAGTAGCGCAGGACTTGAAATTTTAAGCCCTGGGTTATACCATATAAATAGAGGCTTATTTGTGCCCTGAGAGAGAGAGAGTTCCCACCGTCAAGATGTAGCCTTTACTCTGTCGGTCTGTGCCCCCTCTGGGGAACCCAATCAGGATTCCCAATGGGGTCTGGAGCCTGTGGAGTTTTATGGACTTGTGCTGCCTTATCCTGCACCCCTTTTTTGGATTATTACTACCTCTTGTGGATTTACGGCCTAAATGGACCCTTGCCTCAAAAAAGGATTGCTTTATGGACTTTACAATATTTCCAAAGTATGACTACCTCATGGGGCATTAGATAACTCTCTACAGGAAAGTGTGTGTAAGATGTCTGAAAACTGTTTGTTTGTTACCTTTAACTACTTCAGTAAAAGATCGTTGTTGTTCAAAGAAAAAACATGCTTCTGGGGGTTGGGTGTGCTACACATTTAAAAAACTATATAATACATAAATCAGTAATTGAAAAAAAATTTATTACAATTGGCCAAAAACCATTAATTTATTTAAAGTAGTTGTAGGTGCATATCTGTTATCTATGAATAAATCATAGATGTTACTAAACAGCCAAGATTAATTACTAAAAGAAAAGTTTCACTTACCGGAAACATTTTGAAGATTTGCATTCTATAAAATGTCATTCCTTTTCCAGGTTTGTAACAAGGCAAAACAAGAGTAACATTTCTTAGGTATTGTGCGAATAATATTATCAGCATCAAAACCCTGTGAAAAAAATGTATTCTTTATTGGTTTATCAAAGAAAATATATAGGGATTTTTAAGTAAGGGTGGTTGCACATAGACCAAAATATTCCAACAAATTACTTTTTGCAATCAGAAATGTATCAAGCCATGTAGACGTTAACTATACAGAATGTGTTCAAACACCAACAAATGCCAAGTATACAGTAGTACATTGTGCGTAATCAAAAATGAGAAATTGTGAAACTTGTTTTTGTTACAGAGTGCTATTTTCTATAGAGACAAAGAAAGTCTTTATTGTGTGTGAGCATCATTCATGTGATGGCAAGGGCTAGGAAATATTGAGGTGCATTGCAGTAGTTTAATGATATAAAAGATAATAGTCATATGTTGGACCACCAGTAACTATCAGTCACTATCCTGTCCATGACCAGCCCATGTTCAGTCTAGGCCTATAACTACTAAAAAACTAGAGCATGCATAATCTGGTGCAGTTCTGCATAGAAACCAGCTTCCAGGTTTTTTTTGTATAAGCTTAATTGAACATGCTGTAGTTAGAATCTGATTGGCTACCATGCTCAACTTTTATGGGGATTTATGGTAGTATGGTGATTTTTTAAAATTAATTTTGACACTAAAACCCAGTTATAGCCAAAACATTTTCTGTTACTTTTCAACAGGGGAAGGGTAAACCCTGTCAGAATTTTATTTCTCTTCCAAACCTAAATATCAGTCAAAACCTGTACCTTTCCTCACTCCAATGAAGAAAACAAAACAAAAAAAAACCCCCAAAATCATTATGTCACTGCAGGCTGCAGTATCCCTGTTAGAACAGATAAATGAGGAGAAATCTCTTTACCTGTCAAACAGACAGGAAATAATTTGGGATAATAACTTCCAAACCCTATCCAAATCTATAAAAACCTCTGGCTGGATTTGGGCTTTAAAAGTACACTCAAAAATATCCTATTTTATAAAACAACAAAAAATATATAGTAAGTAGATGCTGTCCACTGTAATATACTGTGATTATTGCCATATTTTTATGCCAAATCTCTATACAAATTATGACTACCCTTGAAATAAAAGATAAATCTAAATCTGGTAAAATGAATTAACCATTTGCCCACAGCTATCAGAATTTAAATGTGTTATAAGGAAAACATGTCAGGATAATGTGACATTGAGCCCATAGTATCATTTGAGATGGCGTGTACTTGCCTCTCAGGTAGGAGGGTTGGTGTAAGAGTAAGGTAGCCAGTAGGTAGGTGTAGCCTGCAGTATTTCCTCCAACCTGAAGGTGGAACTGTGCCATGTCTTCAGCCTGGCAGGAGCCTATTGAGGAAAATTTGTCTCCTGCTATGGACTCATCTTAGGGTGATCATGGAGTCATCTTGAAGAGGGCAGCAATAAAATTGGATATTGCAGTTCCACAATATTTGGCCAGCTATCTTGATTAAGGAGGAGGGAAAGAATAGGTTTTCTCTCTGTTTTTGTGTCTTCTTTGAAGCAGCCTCCCATTTGCGGCCACATATTTGCGTCGCAGTGTTACTCAGTAATAACACCGCCCATGCAACGGAAGCTCTCATTAGGCATCCCGTAATCTGTAAGTGTGTACAATAACACTGCTGGAAAATTGCCTTCCTTGTAAGAATGACTTTATCTACCTGAATAAATTCTACAAATAACTGCCTAGTTTGTGTATATTCAATTTCTACAACATATAAACAGTATTAAAATAACTCCATTTGGTGCCTCCTCTCAATCTTCAGGTACATTGTGTGGGATTGGGGTGATTAAGCTCAAGTGGTAGGTGCGTTTTCAATTAGTTGCTCCAGTCCAAACTGTATTTTAAGACATAAAGAAATTAATATTTAAAGGAAAGCAAAGTCCAAAGTTACCCACGCCAGGATTTTTTTCCACACAATTATGCAGAAACAAAATACGGAGCGACCTGACTCACTTGTTGGCAGCACTGCTGCTTCTCTCACCAGTCCCTTTGATGGTGTTGTCCAGCTCTCCTGAAACACTTGGCTCTTTAGCCTTTAGTCACAGCACCCTTTTGCACGGTCCACCTCTGGTCTATGGATTGGGGTTCTCCTGACACCCCTGATAGGGGCCGACCTGACTCTTGGAATTGAGACCTGCTGTCTCCTTTTTAGGGCACCTCTGGCCCCTTGGTGAGACCCTCTGTCTCTTGGCTTCTGGCTGGGGCACCTGTGACCCCTCAGTGAGACCCTCTGTCTCTTGGCTTCTGGGTGGGGTACGTCTGAGCCCTCGGTGAGACCCTCTGTCTCTTGGCTTCTGGCTGGGGCACCTCTAAACCCTCGGTGAGACCCTCTGTCTCTTGACTGCTGGCTGCCCCCTGACCCAGGTGAGACCTTCGGTCTCCCACACTGGAAGTGGTCTCCAAACGGCCACAGCCCTGAGCTTTCCTCAGACCTCTCTATATAACGACCCCTGCACACCTGCGCACTCAGACAGGTTGCAGGAATCTGGCAAAACCCAGACACAGGATTGAGAGTTCGATCTAGAATCACAGAATCCTGCAGAATCCCAAGAAAGCCAAAAACACTGCTTACTCTGCTCAGAAACAGCAATCTGGATCTCCGCATTTAAAATCTGCATTTAAATGCAAATCCTGTGTCAGATTTTCCTATATTCTCAAGTGGCAGAGCCTCCCTCTGTCACAATTGATTAGGTCTCAACTACACTCAATGTAGTCAGCAGGCTATATAAAACCAGTCCTCCACACAGAGCATGCCCTGAGTTATTGCTATGGTACCCTTGGAAGCGGCTTTGGCACGAATACCAAAGTAAAATGGCACAAACAGCCCTTTGGCAGATTGGGCAGAGAAACTGGATATTTCGGCCCACCTGTTTCAAGGGTCAGTGATGCACCTTCTTGACTTTGTGATTTACTCCCTGGAAGAGGATGTTAGGAGAGCTCTACTCATGTTGAAACGGACCATGCTGGCAAAAGTGGCATGGTAAAGTCACAACTGTAGAGGAGTTACACTGCAAATTCTTTTTACAGAACCAACATGAGAATGAGACTATACCCCAAATTGCAGTGACAATTCAGTAGCTGTAGAAATGGTTTGTTAACCATTTAACGCCCGGCCAATAGCCGTATGACGTCCTGAAAAATGTACTACCTTTTCGGGAGGCCGCCATATGGCGTCCTCCCGCACATGCGCAGTTCGCACGCTTGCAGAGCCGCGCAGCGGCGCGATCTGTCACCGGCCCTGTAC